GAATGTAGTGCGTGCTTTGGAACGTCCTTGGCTACAAGATGGTGTCATTCCCTAGAAAATCTCATGTTTCATGACGGCCTAAAAGCGTCACAAAGTCTCAATTCTCTTTCTTTGCGCATTTGAGTTCTCAACAAACTTGGTCGAAGTTCTTCGCAACCCGGGTCTGCATGGGTTGTGTACAACCTACCCGGGTTAAGAGTGCCACTCATCCCAGGTCCAAGATTACCTAGGTTACTACCTATGTTACGCGACAACCTATGCAATAACCTTGGCACAACCTACCAAGGTTACTGACCAATGATCCCCCCTGTGTACGGTTTGATGATTGGGCCCGCCGGCCTGCCGCGGCGCTCTCTCACAGGGCTGAGGCGGACCGGCGCGGCCGCTCGCACTGGCGCCACTAGTAGCATGCGCATCCAAGTGACCTGCCTGACGGGCCGGCAAGGAGCGGGCCCGCATTCGCTGCGTCCACTTTGCACACGCGTGCAAGCGGCCTGAGCTTGCGCCCGGCTGACCTGGTCCGCTCAGGGCCGACTTCTCCGGTTGTGTCAGCATGGTAGGGCTAAGAGTAACTCAGCGACCGTACGGAACATGTACGGCGGAGCATCCGAGTACGGTCCAACGGTCAACCGTTATTTTACTGTACCGTACTTACTAGTGCGTAGTACGTACTACGGTACCTAGCTCTTTAAAACGATTCCACAGATACGGTACTTAACCAGAATAAGTACTCTAGTTACAGTATTAAACAGCTCAGGTTATCGTGAGAACGAAGCGAACACTGAAAACCTAACGAAACCATCACCCGCTCCGCAGCCGCTCCGCAGCCGTATCCACCCTAACCCCCATGCTCACCCCACCCGTCCCAGCACAGGTGACAGTCCCCAAACTGAGCTACCTATTCTGTAGTATGTACTTGTTCTAGAGAACGATACATTACGCCACAGTCCGACCTACGGAATCGTACGGAGGCAGACCGGCAAGCACGGCGTACTTTCACTCCGTAATCATTGGACACTGCCGAAACTTCCGGTTGATGATCATCGGACTACCGTACAAGTCACATGTCGACAGACCGATAAGATAAGTTGCGGCCGAGAGGATGAAAAGCTGCCATGTGTCCCATTCCTAGTGGCCGGCCCTGCCGTGAGCTGATTCTGACCGTCCGCTCCGGACTCTACCCAGTTTACAGCGCAAAGCAGTTGATGGGACAGCAACATCCAATCACAGCACCTCGCAATGACACCGATCGAAGGAAAACGGATGACGACATCAGGTGCCGACAGAACAGCGTCACAGCAGGGCTGATCAGCAGGAGCCCGGACTTCCCCGGCCTGTGCCATACTCAAAAGCGTGTCGAAAGAAGCGGCCCTAGCAGGGGAGCCGTCGTAGTTGGTCAAAGGCAGATGCGGGCGGTGAACATTAAGAGAGTCCTGGGCGTCTTGCGCATACAGCTCAGCGCCTTTGATGGGCCATGGCGTCTCGCGGAGGCATCACGGATTGGCTTTCCCTGAGTCAGCGATTGAGAAGCACCCTTCAGAAGCTCAAAAACAACAGCTCTGATGCGCCACACATGTCAGCATTGGCCATCGCACTTCTGCTCCTTGTTTTGGGCTTTCATTCACCTCACGCGGTCCTCGGCCAATGTGGCATCTTCGGCGCTTGCAACGGGACCGGACAGCTTTGCTGCGGGGGTGCCTCGTGCACCTTCACTCCTGCAAATGGCAGCGCTAGCTTTTGTTGCGGCAAAACTACTTGCAATCCTAGCCAGAACTGCTGCACAGGGTCTGGCCACTGCTGCGACTCCTCATGTGTTGGTGAGACATCCTATTACCACTGGTCAAGTCCTCCAATTCCTCCTTTTTGCCACCTTGAGTTTGCTGGTGCATTCAGATGCAGCTTGGCATGATTCCTCCAGCTTAAGATTAGATGCTCGCTGAAAGGGTGGGGCGGCTGCCGTAGAGCCCTTACCTGTCTGACAGATCGTAATGGACCGATAAACATGTTTGCCGCTTAACCGCTATCTTCTGCAATGCAATAATAGATCCTAGTGGCTGCCAGCTAGAGGGCTAGGTTTCAAAGCCAATGTTCACTGAAGCTCGCTCCCCCTCCTTTGCCTGCAGACCGGAAAGGAGCATCAATTTGTCCTGGTGAGTCTTGCCAACCAAGTAAGCAAAGGCAGAATGCAGCACTCTGTTTGGGCAGATTCTGAGCAATGTGCTTGGATCCATGTTGTCTCTTCTCCAATGTGCAAGTTGATCCCACCTTGAAGACTGACAGGGTGCATGTTCAATCTTTTGCAGACAGTATTTATGGAGATCCTCACATCTCGCTATCTAGCTTGATTGACCCTACGAAGCACCCCAATGTCGAAGATTTTTCCTTTGACTTCCATGGAGAAGCCAATAGGACCTACTGCATGATTTCTGACCTCCTGTTTGCGGTAAGACTGCCTTCTGTGTAGAGCTCTGATGTCTGGACGGATTGCTTATTGTACTGCAAATGCATCATAAGCTTTCACATGTCCCAGTTTCTGACAGGTGTAGACATGAACAGGATTTATGCAGATCCTCTTTGCAGAGATGTTGCAAGCATGAAAGATCTATGTAAGGACTCGATCTTTGGCCCCACTGCAATTCGCAACTTGGCTGGTTGGATGGGGTGAAAAGAAAAAAGCTGCTTCATTCAACTTGTCGACAGCCCACGTACTGCAAGTATCATTTATTGTGATTACTGCATCAAGTCAGACATCTTGGACCTTTTAACATCAACTCCCTTCCGCCTTGCTTGACAGGTTACCGTTCGTATGTTCGGCCTCTCAGCTGACGCCAACATCCTTGCGCGTCCCTTAGAGGACCCAACAAAGTTCTTTGAAGGCACCTGGATCGACGGCATTGGATTCATGTATATCAACTGGAGTGGAGAAGAGAGGAGGGTTGAGGTCCTCCTGAACCATGATGCCGACAGTTTTGGAGACGCTGAGCCTTTCTCGGCCACTTTTGGTGATGGCACCCGCGTTCCCCTCAATCACGTGAGTTGCAAACATCAGCAAAGTCTCAGCTGAGAAAAGCGCTAGCATTGACAAATGACTAGCTTGAGTGGACAACAGAACTCCAGCTATTTTTGGGATAGCTCCTATCTGGTCGGTAGAAACATATGACCGGATTCCTACCCCTGAAGTTGCCATGGTCTTCTGGAAGAATCCCAGTCACGATCTCTAGTGACAGAAAAGCACCGGTGGTCGATTGTGACGCCCAGTATTCATATCGCATTTCTGAGGATGTCAGCAACTAGGAATCCGAGGGGAACAGATTTCCTGGAATTTGCTCGCCTCTATGGAGCAATTTCTGACATTCAGATCCTGTTCGCGCCTTGCAGCATGAGCTCGATACCCTTTGGACCAGCCCCGACGGCATGGTCAAGATCAGCCCCCATCCCACACGAGAGAGTGCGCTTTCAATCTCCGTTGGCGAATCATTGGACATGGATATCTTCCGGGAGTTTGAAGACGAGATCATCACTGAGCCACCCGTGCAGTTCCTGAACTTCGAGATCCGTCATGCTGCAACCTCGGCCAACGTTCACGGGGTAAGCGCGCTTTCAGTACCCAATCGTCTCTCTTGTCTATGTCTCCTCGGAAACAGGTTCTGTGGAGGATTCAAAACAGAAGCGTCAGAGAAAAGCGAGGATAAGAAGGCCAGCTTGAAGCAGGTTTCAAGGAGCACTTTGGGACTCGGGAGGTCCTTTTGAAGCCCGTACTTGTACTGTAAGCTCGTTGTAAGTCAAAGCGATCCTGGTTCGGCAGTGGCTCTTACATTCTTGAAAGCTTCGAAACGTTTTGTCTGCATCGGCGGTTCTCAGCCAGCGGGAATCCTGGTGTTTGGACGATTGAAATCTGCAGATTTCAAGGGAGTGGGTAGAATTTCATTTCTTGAGGAGACCTCTGGCTGTTCAGCAAGTGGTGTGATGCTTGGAACCACGTTTGAGTTCTCACCGCATGAAAAAGCAGCTTTTAAAACCTGGTCTGGAGTGTTGAACATTAATATTAAGCACATGTTTTCCGGCGATTCGAGATCAAGGAACGAACGGAAAGGCCGGCCGCTTTAACAACGCTGGATTAGAGTATGTTGGGTTGCGAAGCTTCGAAGCTCTTCTTCTCTGCTTTCATCAAGTGATGTCGCTTCTAAAGTCAGGGTCAATTCGTCGAATCATAACGTCATTTTGCTGCGCAGTTCTTGGGTCAGATGTACGCTCCTGGAGCAGTAGAGGAGCGGCTGGCAATGGGCACCCTGGAGGGGTTTCTCCACCGCGAGTACGTAGAAGGCGCGGACGAGGACTACGAGACGTCCAGCCTCACCTCATCGGACTGCGCCTTCGACCGCTTCGGCAAGGTAACGTCCCACATCTCGCCCAGTAGCTTCAGCCGAGCTTTACGGGACTGTTTCGGTGTCTTCTCAACATTCAACACAAACGATTAATTAATTAATCGAGCGGAAAGAGTTTGTATTGGCAGGCCAAGTGGTCAAATGAAAGTTGCCTAAAGGGGACTCATAATGGAACGTCCGCTTCGTGCTCCAGTAGAACGGGCGCCTAGTGAACAGAAAACTTTGAGGGGTGCACACGACCGGCAGGCGGCCACCTTTGCGCGCCTTGCCGCTGTCAACGAGAGCCCACCTTCGGGATCTCTTTCAATCAAGTACTGAGGAGAGAACAGAGTCTGGCACATCGTTTTCCGTTAACGTTGTGTACGGGATACACAGCTTGTCGACTGCTCTGTAGAGAACCCATGTCTGCATGGCAAGCCAAGCTTGATTGTCATGGAGCGACTGATAAAGCGCGGCCTCCTGCTTTTCTGTCGCCGGAACGAGTGTCTTGCTGACGTCTTTCTTAGCCGGACTTGCTGCTTAAAAGAAAACGCTGCACGCTTCGACCTCCCTGTTGAGACGCCGTCTTTAAGCGGATCAAATGCTCAATCAACCGGACGCTAATTGAAAATGCTCCCAAGTACAGTAAGACAATGGAACCGGACGAAATCAGAGGCACAACTGGCTGGTTTTAGAACGCACGGAGCAATCTGGCGTACCTTCCCTCCAGGTCCCGCCGACAGCTTCCGACTTCTCCGCCGTCAATCTCGGAAGGCGTCTCCTGATGCCAGCTGTTTCGGACCGTGTGCCAGTGAGCTGCAGGGTCTTGGACAAGGGGAAAACATTCGTGTGCGCTTGAGCCATTCAGCCCCGCAGCGACACCGACGCTTCAGACTTCCACATCCGTCACGGCCAGTCTCATTGACACAGCGGTCTGTCGGTACTGTCAAATACAGGGATATGTACGGGTAGCTATGATCATGGCAAAGTTGATCTTGGTGTTAATACAGCGGAAGTACATGATAGTTTCATAGTCGTTCGTAGCCAGGTTGCTTGTATAGTCAGATTATACGACTTATCATTTATATATAACAGTGAAGTCACAAGCTCCGCTCAGTATGCATCGCATGGGCGACCTAGCTAGACGATTCCTATCAGGGCGCGACTGCATCAGATTTGAACATCAGGAAGCTACTGCAATGGATTCTAGCAGCTTATGGATCTGACTTTCTACAATCGATAGAAGCATATACTGCTTGGACACAGCTCGTTTGTACTCAAGGACTTGCTCGTTTCCCAAACGAGAATCTGGCATGATACGGATTTGCGTCAAGAAGGGAAGGGTTTGCTTTGTTTCATCAGAAACATGTAAGCGGTTACGTTCAAAGACATAAGCCTGCAGGATGTGATGGCTGTCCAGCTCCTCACTTGAAAAGTTTTTCGCACGTACAATCTAGTTTCAGGCTATTCTAAGAGAATCAAAAGAAACGCAAGCTGCCAGCCGTCCCCCAAGATCGATCATTCATCTGGGCATATAAACAAGACTAAGATCGATATAATCGATGATTTGGATATGGATGATTATAAGCAGGATCGATCCTTCTAGAATGTGCCAGACATATTGTACGGTTTTACGACAGTGCTCGCATACGAGGTTGTTTCGTGATCTTGAATTGAGCAGCATCAGCGATCGGAGGGCCCTTCAAAAGGTTGCAAGGGGCCGGTATATGACGACCGTCAAATAGGCAACGTATTTAAAATCAACTTCGGCACAAAAGGGGGAAGGCATTCTGAGCGCCTAAGTGGCGCTAAGTTAGTCGATCTGCTCATTCGGTGCGAATCATCGCCAAACAGCCGCCGACTGAAAGGCTACTGCGGTGCGCGTCAAGCTTTTGTCTCAAGAACGTAGTTCAAGCTTTGGTCCTGACGTCTCGATTCTTCCAGACAACTTTTCGGGGCCATCAAAATGCTGACGTTTACATTCGCTGCAATGTGAACGAATGTGCCTTCCGTAGCTGTGCTGGCCGATGTGACTGATGACACTGTTTTCTTAACTGCCTCGCTCCACTTGGAATACTCATGCCCAAAGTCGAAGGCCCCCACAGTTTCCGAGCTTGATTACGAACAAGGTTTCTCGTTTCGACGAAACATATTCCAAAAGGCCCAAGAGCAATCGGACCGAAGAAGGTGAGAAGAGCGATAAGATACAACCCCTATCACGGCTGCTCAAGTCTTGGCTTTAGTTACAACCATTTCGCGCAGGAAGCGCAAGAAAGTTTTGTTCCCGAGAACAGATTGGCAGCTTCTTGGAGACCCGCACTGGCATCGCGGTCTGCTCTCAGGCTGTTGTGGCGGTGGTTCTCCTCCAGTCAGCAATTGTTTCGCACCGATCATGAAATTAGAACTGCACAAAAACGGTGCATGCTTGCAGTCAGTGGCGGCTTGACGAAAACGCGCGCGGCCGCCCGCCAAGCGTCACGGGTTTTGAGCCTGACGAACCCGCACAGCGCGCGCGCGGCCGCGCGCGCCACCAGCTGGCTCGCGTAGGGGGAAACAGTACATACTGCTTTCAGATTCTTTCCCTTCCTTTTCAGCCGCCTTCAATAGGCTCTATGGTCTGGCCATAGTGGAACAGTTCTAGGGTGTGGTACAGCGAAAGCAGGTCGACCTGCCGTCTTCAAAGGCGTCCTTGTTATCGAGAGAAGCGTCCTTGATGAACTTCATGTGGTCAGAGCCGTCTTCAATCCCTCATCGGATCTGCCCTTGTGGGCATTATTGATTATCATTAAAAACTTCGAAAAAGACAATACCCTCGGAGTTGCCGGCATTCGTGAAGAGTATGATTGCTTCTGTCATCGCGCTTTCGTGACGGTCTGGTGGAAGCGAAGTGACAATCCTGCAACGAGATACTGTAGCAAGGTGCAGTCAACCAGCTATCTGAGCGCCTCGGGTGTTTTCACATCATCCGAGGGGCATAAGGCTGACGAGAATGAGACCTATTTTCGGAGGCTTCTCAGCACTTTTCATCGAGAAATTGCAGACTGTCGAAAACGCTTGTGGGCTGTCGAACGTTCGATACTGCGAGTCATTCCATCTAAAAACGACAAAAGGAGCGCCCCTCTTGCTGCCTATCAAGAAACAACCTATTTTCACGTCCCTCCTGTCCTCGGAAACGGGAAACTGTCTAAGCACCACGGTTTTGTGAAGAGGTAGCTTTTGCGCGTCTGCTCAGAACGTGGGCCGTGTGACCCGTTCGATCTTCACAAGCAAGTCAAACAGTCAACATGCTGCTCTGACAACTCTGCCAGGCGCTATCAATGAGATGGTCACCCGGCATCCGTCTTCAAGTAACTTGATTGTTGCTAGAGCGGCTCGGCCAGAGCTACAAAGGAACTTCTCACTGCAGAATTTGTTATACGTAAACAACGGCAGCGCGGTTGATGACTCCTATTCGCAAGCTTCTACAGTGTTGCAAATCATAATCCGCTCAAACTTGCAAGCGCACCCAACTCAATATCCTAACATGGCTCTCTCCGTCATGCGCGTTCTCCAAGCTGTTCTCTTCCTGGTGCTTGGCAGGTTCCTCTGCGCGCGCAGATCCTGATAGTTCCCTTGCCGACTTCACCCCTTCCAACCTGACGAGCTTCGTCTTCCGGGGACTGGGGAAGAATGGCGTCGTGTCCGTCGCTCCCGGGGGAAGGAGAGCGGCCCTTAGCGTGGAAGTGTTCCCGGCACTCAAGTAAGACCTCCGTGCACTACCCCCATTTTATGTATTTCTTATCGATCTTTACCTCCTTTATGCTTATATTGGTAAGCGCAGACAGGCCCTTTTTTGATTCGCAAAGAGAGAAAGCTCAAAGAAGGGCTATATAAAATAGCAGATTGTTGAAAGGCAAGGGTCGCACGGAAAGGCCATGAACCGGAAAGGTCTGAATCAATCTCACTATATGCTCGCTTAATCATCTGCTGCAAATATTGCCCCTGCGCTAACCTCAAAAAGCTAACCAGCTAACTAGAACTCGCTCGTGTTGCTGGCGAATGAGCCAAGTTCAAACAAATCGTTGAGAACAGCTCAGTTCGATGCTCCTTTGATGTAACCTGCTCGTCTAGAGGAGGCCTGATCTCCTGCAAGAGCGCTTTGTTCTTCGCAGTCTGGGCCTAGACCGATCCAAAATCGATCAGGGGCTCAACTGCAAAGCAGTAATACAAGAGGGCAGGGGTATACGTGGCAACCATTAAATTTTCAAGCTTCTGAAAGGTCGTTCTGTGTTTTCAGGTCCCTTGGCATCACCTATGTTCGCTTCGAGATGGAGCCCTGCGGTGTGAACGAGCCCCACACCCACCCCCGCGCGACGGAGATCCTGACCCTCGTTTCGGGGGGTCCCCTCCAAGTCGGCTTCGTAGACACCAAGAGCACCCCCCACATCGACATACTCTACCCCGGGGACGTGACCATTTTCCCCCGGGGTTTGCTGCACTTCGAGGTCAACGTGGGAAAAAAGACGGCGCTCTTCTTCTCGGCCCTGAACTCTGAGAACCCGGGGACTCTGGTGAGCAGGCACCTTTTCAAAAGTCGATCAGCAGTCGTTAGTGCTTTCCAAATCATATTTTTTAAAAATACGAGAAGTGCACGAGTGTGCTGAAACATTTGGCGTTTGTACTGTTGGCTGCAACATTAATCTGATCTCTCTTTCCTTGTAGCAAAACTCGCCCTTCGACCTTTCAATCGCATCCCATTTTTTGGCTTTTTGGGATTTTAGGGTTCTGGGCAGGAAGTGGATGAACCCACTGCATTCGCAAAACCGAGCAAATTAGGGCCTTGTGCGGCTTTATTTTGCCGGCCCCGTCTTTGGACCATCGCCATTTGACTTTGATTGGGTGTCAGCGCCCCGTTTGCTGCTTGGAATGGTCCGTCACTTGAACGCAGGTATGACTGAAGAATCGAAGCTAAGGTCCCTTCTTGCCGCTATCGAAAGTCAGTGCAGCCCCGGATTTTCGATTCCAATACAAACGTTAGAGACATTCTTAAAAGGAAATCGAGACGAACGTCATAAAATAAAATTTCAATCTATCAAACGCGGTTGTATTCCGCTTAAAACGTTCTCGAGAAAAGAAAGCATCCGCTAACCCCGCCTTTCCGTTCTTCGTTGCTCGTCTATCAGCCTGCAAGCAACGCCCTCGCTCAGATCCCCAAGCGTGCGCTCATCGCCGCTCTCAAGACTGGCGCCAAGGAAGCCGACGAGCTGAAAGCAGCTAACCCGTCTGACGCCGGCGTGACCAAACTTTACAAGCTGGATGCGGAGTTCTGTAGTCCCGGCAAGGACATCACAGCAGAGTTCTGAAATAGATGGAGTACGACTCTCTCCGTATGGGGAGCTTAATTGAGATGTTTCTGAACAGTTTTCCATTTCTTTCAGCATAGTAAATGCCCTCAGGCTCTGAGCTTCGGAATTATCGACCGGCCACATCCGGAACTTTTCGTCTTTAAGCGTGCGTTCCATCGGCCTCGCCGCACCAGTAATCACCGAGAGATATAAGTCTTGAAGGTTGACGCATTAGCAGCTTGCAAACCCGGTTTCGATGAAACAGTAAGAGAGGCGCCCTGACAATTTTCAACAACTGCCAGGTTCGCAGAATAAGAAGCATCACTTAGTCATCCATAGCTGATGTCGAGGCCGGTTGTTCCAATCATTGACAGCATCTTTGCATGCATGTTTGAGACGACTCCTGGAAAGAAGTCGACTTGTATAGCGCCACCATCGTACTGCATTTAAAATCTGGATTCCTGATTACGTTGATTCTCGTGGCCGCATATTTATTAGCACAATACTGTGGGAAGCTTTTTGTGCAGCCTTCTACGCAACTGAAGCAATGTCTTGATCATGCAGCTGCTAGGGTGCTACTTTTCAGGTCAAATATCAATTGCTGGCATATGAAGCACTCTGCATGCATCTGTAACAAAACTCTCAATGATGAGTCAATGATCCCAGTGTCACCATCATGTCGCAGCGCAACTAGCATGTCGAAGACTTTACGCCCGGAATCACAGATCGAAGCACAGGCTGCACTGCACCTTGCCGCCCAGCATGAGGATCCCGTGCACTGCATGAGCTAGCTTCGACACTTCATTAATGGTGGCCGCCCGATCAGAGTACCTGGTATTTGAAAC